TGAAATTATTGGTAATCTGTTGAATTGATCTATTTAATACTATGGTCGTAATTTTGCATCCTGGGCTCGTTCTCTCCGCCTCTATGTTGGTGGAAAAGGCAAATCAGGGTGGATTTTGGGTACTGAAAATAGGCCAGATATTAAAGATCCTAAATATGCTCAGTGGGATATGGACAATTGCACCATTTTAGGATGGATGTTTAATTCTATGGAGGAACGCATTTATAATATATTCATGTTTTATGACTCTGTTAATGACTTGTGGACTGCTTTGAATCAAATGTATGCTCATTCTAGGAATGATGCTCATATTTTTGAATTATATCAAGATATTGCTAAGGCCTCGCAGGAAGGCCTGAATTTGTCTGTAACTGATTATTTTGGGTATTTGAGATCTCGTTGGGAGGAACTAGCTCAATATGAGCCTCTCAGTGAATTTCCTTCTGAGGCAGCCTTTCTTCTTGTCAAACGTCTTGATCGTCAGCATACCTATCAGTTTTTGATGGGATTACGCCCAGAATTTGAATCACTAAAGTCTCAGATCTTGAATGCATCACCAATGCCATCCCTGTTGGAAGCCTTTGCTACTGTTGATGGTGAAGCACGCAGGCACCGTTTAATTCAGCCCTCAATTGTTCCTATACCAGTGTCTGAGCCTGCTGGGGATAGTATGGCTTTTGCAGCCAACTTTGGATCACGAGCTTCTGGAGGTCAGATTATTTGTCACCATTGTGGAGGGGTTGGACATGTTAAGGCTCGTTGCTTCAAACTTCATCCTGAACTAAAGCAAAAATTTTCTAGGAACCGTTTATCTGGAACTGGTTCTTCTTGTACTACGGCTGTTGCAGAAACTCCTGTTACTACTGGTGGATCTACTGTATTTCCTAGACTGAGCCAGCTTCAGTCTCAGATTGGGCATCCAAGACCAGCTTGGCTCCCTTGCTTCTAGAGTTAGTGCTCCTTCAACTGCTCCCAATGCAACTATTGCTACAGGTACTCCTACTGCATTTCATGTTAAGGCCAAGCAGCCTACTTGGGTTCTGGATTCTGGGGCCAATGATCACATGACTGGTGAGTTATCAGTTTTTTCTTCCAATGTCATACCTGTTGCCCAATCTGTGTATCTTACGGATGGCTCTACATCTTACATTCACAGTAAGGGTGATGTTTGTCTGTCTCCTGATATTACTCTTTCATCTGTCCTTCATGTACCTAAATTTGCCTTTAACCTTTTATCTGTTAGTCGGCTTGCAAAAAACCTCCAATGTGCAGTTATATTCTTACCAGATCACTGTTTGTTGCAGGACCTTTGTTCGAAGAAGATTTTTGGCAGGGGTTATGAGCGTGATGGGCTTTACTACTTTGGGGAACCACCAGGAACGAGTCTTCAAGCTTCTGTCCTACCTACTTCTAGTGTTTATGATGTTTCTTTTCGCACTTTTAGTCTGTGGCATGCACGTTTGGGGCATGTAAACTTTCAATATCTATGTCTATTGTTTCCTTCGTTAAATAAAGCATGTAAGGACCATAAGTTTCAATGTGAAGTTTGTGAGCTTTCTAAACATACTAGAACTAGCTATATTTCTCATATGAGTCGTGCTCCCAGTATGTTTGATCTTATTCATTCTGATGTCTGGGGCCTTCCCCAGTTACTGCTTTCTCTGGACATCGATATTATTGATGATTATTCTCGTTGTACTTGGGTTTATTTATTGAAAAAGAAATCTGATGTGTTTCTTTTATTTACCCAGTTTCTTCAAATGATCAAAACCCAGTATAACACTGTTGTCCGTAATATTCGTCCTGATAATGGACGAGAATATGTTTCGAATGAGTTCCGGTCTGAACTTAATAAAAACGGGATTTTACATCAACTCACTTGCCCCTATACTCCTGAGCAAAATGGCGTGGCTGAACACAAAAACCGTCATCTTTTGTCCGTGGTCCAATGTCTTCTGAGTGGTATGCATGTGCCTAAATTCTATTGGCACATAGCTGTTCTTACAGCTGCTTTTCTGATTAATCGTACTCCCAGTCGAGTTTTGGGTGGTAAGGCACCACTTCAGATTCTCCCTGATTATACATTGTTTCACCTTCTGCCTTGTGTTTTTGGCTATACTTGTTTTGTTCATAACCGTGGTCCTTCTCGTCATAAACTTGATGATAAATCTATTAGGTGTATTTTCTCGGGGTATTCTGTTATGTCAAAGGGCTATCGTTGTTATGATCCTGTGACCAAACATATGTATCATTCTCTTGATGTGACATTTCATGAAACTGTTCCTTTTTATAGTACTAATTCTGTGGTACAGGATTCTCTCTTTTGTGATCTGGAGAAGGAGATTTTTCCTATTGCCCGTCCTGTTCCTCTCTTTGAAAATCACACTGTCCTGGAATCTCCTTCTCCATCCATGCAGGGTTCCCCTCCACCTTTGCAGGTCTACTCTCGTCGCCATCGCACTCAACCTCCCCTGCCAGAATCATCTTCAGAACCAGGTCCAGGTAACTCTCCTTCTCCTATTGCTCCTACAATTCCTGAGTGTACCTCCCGTTATCCTACCCGTGATCGTCATCCTCCTAATTGGTATGGTTTTTCTAGTAGCACTAACCACCCTATTTCCTAGTATGTCTCCTATGATGGTCTTTCAGGTGCATATAAATCCTTCTTGGGCAAGATTGGGACCGTTTCTATTCCTCGATCTGTGTCAGAAGCCCTCCAGGATCCCAATTGGGTGTCTGCCATGACAACAGAAATGGATGCTTTACACCATAATAATACATGGGAACTTGTTGCTTTACCTTCTGGGGAGAAAACGGTCGGCTGCAAGTGGGTCTTTAATGTGAAGTACTTAGCCGATGGTTCTATTGATCGGTATAAGGCTCGGTTGGTGGGAAAAGGCTTTACTCAGATTCCGGGCAAAGACTTTAGTGCTACCTTTGCTCCTGTGGCTAAGTTGACGTCTGTGCGACTGCTGGTCTCCTTGTCTGCTGCCCATTCTTGGCCTCTGCATCAGTTAGATGTCAAGAATGCATTTCTTAATGGAGACTTACTTGAGACTATATATATGGATCCACCCCCTGGATTTTGGGCTGAAGGGGAGTATGCTGGGAAAGTCTGTAGGCTACGGAAGTCTCTTTATGGTCTGAAGCAATCTTCTAGAGCTTGATTTAGTCGTTTCAGCAGTGTTGTTTTATCCATGGGCTTTGTGCGCTGCCACTCAGACCATACTTGTTTTATTCGACGTCGCTCTGATGGTCATTGCATTATGTTATTAATATATGTGGATGATATCATTATCACAGGTGATGATGCTTCAGGGATTGCTCAGGCGAAACTTCATCTTCAAAAGTCCTTTGATGTGAAGGACTTAGGTCCTCTTCGATATTTTCTTGGAATTGAGGTTGCTAAATCCCGTCGTGGAATTTCTTTATCTCAAAGAAAATATGTTTTGGATCTTCTTCAAGATACTGGCATGCGTGGGTGTCGACCCACTTCCACTCTTATGGACCCCAATCTTAAACTCTCTGTTGAGTCAGGGGAATTACTTCCAGATCCATCCGTGTATCAACGTTTAGTAGGTCGTCTTATCTACTTGACTAACACAAGGCCCAATTTGACATTTGCTGTCAGTGTGATTAGTCAATTCATGCATGCCCCTCGCTCAGCTCATATGGATGTTGTCTACCATATTTTAAGGTATCTTAAGTCGTGCCCTGGTCTTGGTCTGTTCTATGCCTCAGGTTATCAGTCTGGACTCTCATGCTTTACTGATGCAGACTATGCTGGATGTAAGACAGATAGACGTTCTACCTCTGACTTCTGTACTTTCTATGGTAATCATCTCATATCATGGAAGAGTAAGAAGCAGGCTGTTGTTTCTAGATCCTCTGCTGAAGTTGAATACCGAGCTATGGTTCAAGGTACTTGTGAGCTCCTTTGGCTTCAATCAATTTTGGGAGAGTTGGGTCTTGTACAGAAAGATTCTTCAAGGCTGTTTTGTGACAATAAATCAGCCATTATGCTTGCTTCTGATTCTGTTTTACATGAAAGGTCGAAACATATTGAGGTAGGCATTCACTTTATTCTAGAGAAGGTTCGATCGGGTATTATTAATCCTATTTTTGTTCCTTCTTCAGAACAGACTGCAGATGTGTTCACAAAGTCTGTTGGGCCTTCTCTTCTCTAGTCTTCCATCGTCAAGCTGGGCTTAGTCAACATATTTGCTCCAGCTTGAGGGGGAGTGTTGGAAATCTTATCTATAAGTTGATTCAACGATTATGGCAGATTTATTGGGTCTTCAATATAGGCTAATTTTTAGGGATTTTATTTTTATTCTGATTTGATTTGATTTGATTTTATTCTCTTTATTTTGATTTGATTTTATTCTCTTTTCCATATTTGTAATTTTCCGCTTGTATATAATGATAGTCAGGCTCTCAAATTGAGTACGCCAATTTTACCAAGTTACTTTTGAGAATATAAGAAAATGTATATGTTATTGAGTGAGTAATACAATAATACAATGGTGTTTATATAGGAGAAGCTATGGGAGTAGGTGAGTGTGATAATGAGGGGTAGGTGACAACTCATACAATACTGTACAGCACATTATAAAAACCAAAAACTCGGGGGGAAATATGAAGTGAGACTCCATTAAGATTAATTTGCTACAACCTAACTTGCTAATGAACCCCTTGATATTTTGTTAGTTGAGATTTGAACTCATATGATTTTTTGCCCCTCAAAATGCATGCACTTTGCATTCATATGGCTCCTCTTTTTTTGAAAGTAAGATCATGTTATCACCACCATGTTTCATTAGAATTGTTTGATGAATGATACTAGGCAATAAACTATTTAGCCCCCTATCTTGTTGTATAAGAATTATTATTATTAATATTTTTTATTTTTTATTTGTTCACAATTGTATGAGAATAAGATATGCTTTATTTGAGCATTACTCGTGATGTGGAAGGTAATATCATGACTTGTTTTGTAGCTTCGTTCACCTGGTGTTTTGGCTATTGGAAGTAGTATGAAAGGAGAAAACTCTTATTCACATCACTTGGACTCTGATGTAAGTGTGAATTTAGTAGCAGTTCCACTGTTCAATTTGTAATTGATTGGATATTGATATGTCAAGGATGCTATACTTCTTACACTATACTTGTTGTCTCCAAATTCACTCTCAAGTCTTTGGTATCATTTTTTATTTACATTTTTCTTTGATGTAGGTTGGTGTCTCCGTTGTCGATCGTTTCACATTTTATACCCTTGCTTTCTTTGAGAGGCTGAGTATTTATGACAATGCTTCATTGAGCAGGTATGTGGAAACATCGTCATCTTCATCATCCTTGCCTTATTACCTTACAAAATGTTTCACTTTAGTGGCTAGTGCTTCCAATCAGCTTGTTTTGATTATTAATACTATTTGTTTACAAATTTAGGCTTTCCCTTCATTTTACTTTTGTGGGTTACAATTATGTAGGAAGGTATGCAGATATTCCCTTTATAATTGCGGTACCCATGGTGCCTAGGGCTGCATTTTGTGTGGGTTGGGTTGAATTGAAGTTCAACTAAGACTCAAGCTGAGTTGTAGTATGCTAGTAGCATTTATTGGAACCCAACCAAGCCTCAGCTCCAACTTGAGCTTGACCAGCAGTAAATTTATGAGCTTGTATTTAGCTCGGGTTGAATGGCTTAGGTTGGTTGGGTTCTAAAACAAAATTCAGCAGATCTTTTATTTTCTGTTTTTTATTGTTCTCTCATTCTTGAAGAATATAAAAAAAATAGTGCATGATTGCTGTAGTCAAATAATTGTTTTCAAGACCCCAAGAAAATATAAAAACTGTGCAAGAGTATTGTAAAACGAGAAAAAAATAAAGTGTCTCAGAGTAGAGAGAGAGAGGAAAATATAAAAACTGTGCAAGAGTATTGTAAAACGAAAAAAAAAAAATATATATATATATATATAGAGAGAGAGAGAGAGAGAGAGAAGAAGAAGAAGAAGAAGAAATCTAACTTGTTGAGAGTCTTGAGACTGAATGTCTGACTTGAGAGAAAGGTTAACACTCTGATTCTTGTTTGAGATGAGGAGATATGCAGAACACAAACTGGACAGAAAGAAGTGTTGTGAGGAGGTATGGTGGCTAGGTCTAGGACTCGTAGAGAATGGCTAGTAAAAACTACGTGAATAGATCAAAATTTGGGTATTCAAAGGGGGGGAAAAATGGAACATGATCAAATCATGTCAGCCAAAAAGAAAAGTAAAAGACAAACGGAAAGTCATATGCTTTATAACAATGTCATCTATATATTATACATATTGTTGTTACATATATTCATATTTGAGGTTTAGTTGGACTGCGTAAGAGTTCTGCCCAAAACCAATCTGAAATAAGGTCAAGTTGATTTTATTTTTAACCCAAGCACAAGCTGAACTATGAAAAATTTCTCAATCCTGACCAAGATTCGTTTTGGTCATGGACCCCCATGGTGTTGCAGCCCAGTAGTGTCGAGTTGCAGCCCTAGTGGTGTATTTTTATTTTTATTTTTAATAAGTAAAGCACAAAGTCAATGGGTGGGGGCTCAGGTCAGAGTTTTTTGGAGGGTGATCCCTTTTTGTATTTGGTGGAGCCTTTGGAGAGAGCGTAATGGAAGATCTTTTGAGAGAAAGGAATCCTCCATTGGGGTGTTAAAATTTTCTATCATTTGTAATTTGTTTTGTTGGGGTCAGGGGAGAGACTACTCCTCTCTTGAGGAGATTGTTGATTTTATGAGCTGTTTGAATTCATAGGCTCCGTTTTGTCTTTGTATAGTTTGGGACGCGTTCCCCTTTTGAACGCTTTTAATACAATTTACTTATCAAAAAAAAAAAAAAAGTAAAGCACAAAGTCCCACTTTATCCTAATTGGGGGTGAAGTAGATACCACCCAAGCTAAAGTCTTGTTGTAGTGTCTGCCAAAGTTGCTCCACATGTGACATGTTGACCTATTTGAGGTGGCAAAATGTTAGGTTATTGTGTAGTGCTCTCTCTCTCTCTCTCTCTCTCTGGGTTTCTCCACTTACAAAATTAGTGAATGCAAAAAAAAAAAACCAAAATCTTGTGTTATGAGTATTTGGGATTGGGATGTATCGGGCATCTCATTGATGTGTCCGAAGTAAATGAAATTTATTTTTGAATTATAGACATGTCACAGAGATGCCAGATACTTGTCTTGGAGTGTCCGTGAAGTTTTGGTGTACAACATGTGTCCAACACGAACACAATACCTTAATTGGAGTTTTCATGCTTCTTAGAAAATCCATGGTCCATAATAGAGGGCACTGTAATCATTTCCAAGCTTGCCAACCAAGAAGATCTGAAAATGTTGTTGTCCATGACTGGTATTTTTATATATTCCTAATACACCTTAATTATTCATGATCATCCTTGCCTTTATCCCAAACGAATGGGTCGGCCACATGAATTCCCTTTTTTTCAATTCTATTCTATTATATGCCATGTCTCCTCTTATATATTTTAATTTTGTAAAGCCATTTGTAATTACTTCATCCCAACTTATTTTTTTTCGGCATTGTTGTCTCTTACCTTCTATGTAAACTAAGCTTCCTTTCTCACTGGTGCATTTATGGGTTGCTATGATTTTAAATTTACCAATAGAAAGAAAGGAATAAATTGACATAGTTCTGGGGATCAATTCTTTTTCCTATTAATTTATAGAGAAACTACTGGCTGGCAGATGTTTGGAAGTCCCAGGAGTCACTCTGACCTTTTCAGATGGATTGAAAATAATACCCACATGCTTCAACTGATTGACAAGAATTTGAGGACAGTCCCTGATTGATCAAATCTTCAGGATCTTAAAAGCCAGAGGAAATTTAAAATAAAAATAAATAAAAAAAGAAAAACTAACTGAAAAGGCGAACCAAGACTGAAACAGTTGGCTTTTGTTGACCAAGTGACGTAAGTATCCTCCAGATTACGATTTCATGCTAAACAAATTAGAGAGAGAAGGAAAAAAAAATAGCAATGGGATAAAACAGAAAAATACTCTTGGATGGGACTTCTTTTTTTGATGCTTTTCTCCATCGAAGAATAAATGCATACTCAGCATTAATTTATGTTCTTTCAGTCATTGGCTCAATAATGTGGATCTGGAGGCTTATTCCTGTCCACCTACTGACAATCATTCTTTTTAATCTATTTGAAGCTTGGAACATGATTTGTAAATTCTGTGTTTATTTTGCAGTCTTTTCAATTCCTATAATCCAAGCATGCTGTTCTCAACTGCATATTATCGAACAGATCTATACAAACGACAGTTAGAAGAGGTATGGAGTTCTAGGTCTGTGTCTGTGTTATTGATCTTTGCTTACTTTGCGGTAAACCTCTCCTTCACCCCCTTCTCAGAATAAATAAATAAATAAAGTAAATAAAATAAAATAAAAAGGGAAAGAGGAAAGATTATGAGTTTTTTGTATACATATTCTTACACTCTTTTTGTATTATATAGGCAGTCAAACCATGCCACTTTTCATAAGTAAAAGCTTCCTTTAGGTTTTGCTGGCATCTCATTTGTATAAAGAAACCTCTGCAACCTCTATTTTTGTTTCTTCCAAAGATAAGTTTCTTCTGGGAACTTAACAATGACAAGCCATTCATATTCTTTAGGGTTGCTTTCAACTTGTGCCATTTCTTGTTTACTAAAAAATTCAACCTCAGTAATTGAAATCTGTAGTTTGCCTTCCACATGCTATAACCTGACATTCAGTTTCTTCCGCTTACTTTTGTCTGTCTTCTTCTGCCAAATCTTTTTATTGACAACAAATCCAACCTAAATTGAATTTTATAGTGCTGCGTTTGGTATGCATGGGAATGGAATGGAATGCTCCATTCTCATTCTCATTATATTGTTCGGTTGCACATATGAAATGTGTAGGAATTAAATAATAATAATCATTTTTGTTTTTTGTTTGGACTAATTTTAAATTTAGAATGAAATGAATTTCAATTTGAATTCTCCAAAATACCCCTCTTATGTAAAATAAATTAAATTAAAAAAAAAAAATTACATTTTTCTGTAATTTTAAAAGAAATGGTGGTGGCGGTGGATGGCGGCGACAATGGTGGTGGAAGGCTACAGTGGTGTTGGTGGAAGGCGGTGGCAATGATGGAAGCAGTGGTGGTAGTGGTGGAAGGCATCAGTGGCGTAAGTGATGACGGTAGGAGGTAGTGGCAATAATGGCTGTGGGAGAAGTGGTGGAAGGCGTCAGTGGTATAAGTAATGATGGTGGGACGCAGTGACGGCGTGGTGGTGGTGGAAGGTGGCGGTGATAGAAGGCAATGGAGGTGTCGGTGGTGGAAAGTGATGGTGTAGGTGGAATGCAACGGTAGTAATGGCAGGAACATTAACGGTGGTGGTAGTGGAAGGCAGTGGAGGTGGCGATGGTGGAAGTTGACGTTGGTGGCGGTGGTGGAACGCGATAGTGGTGTAGTTGGCGGTGGTGAAAGGCAATAGAGGTGGCGGTGGTGGAAAGTAGTAGTGGTGACGGTGACAACAGTGGTGGCGGTAATGGTGATTGGTAAAAGGCAGTGGAGGTGGCGATGGTCAAAGGTGGTAGTCGTGGAAGGCGATGGCAATGGTGGTGGGGGCGGTGGCGGTGATGGAGGTGGCGGTAGCGGTGGTCATAGGTGGTAGTGATGGAAGTTGATGGTGGTGGTGGAGGTGGCAGTGGTCGTAGGTGGTAGTGGTGGGGACTGGTGAAAGGTAGTGGAGGTGGCAATGGTGGAAGGTGGTAGCAGTGGCGATAGTGGTGGCGGCGGCGGTGGTGGCGGCGGCGGCGATAGAGGTGGAAGGTGGTGGAAGTCGATGGTGGTGGCTGCGGTGGTGGATGTGGCGGTGGTCGTAGGTGGTAGTGGTGGAAGGTGGTGGTGACTGGTGAAAGGCAGTGGAGGTGGCGGTGATGGTTGAAGGTGGTAGTGGTGGAAGGCGGTGGCAATGGTAGCGGTGGCGATGGAGGTGACGGTAGCGGTGGTCGTAGGTGGTAGTGGTGGAAGGTTGTGGAAGTCAGTGGTGGTGGCGGCGGCGGCGGTGGATGTGGCGGTGGTCGTAGGTGGAAGGTGGTGGAAGTCGGTGGTGGTAGCGGCGGTGGTTGTAGGTGGTAGTGGTGGAAGGGGGTGGCAGTGGTGGAAGTCAATGGCAGCGGCTGCGGCTGCGGCGGTGGTTGTAGGTGGTAGTGGTGGAAGTCGATGGTGGTGGTGGCGACAGTGGAGGTGGCGGTGGTGGAAGGCAATGGAGACGGCAGTAGTGTGGTTATTGAAGGCGACCATAGTGGTGGCGGTGACAGCGACAGTGACGGTGGTGGAAGGCAATGAAGGTGGTGGTGGTGAGAGGCGGCGGTGGTTGTGTTGGAAGGTGGCGGTGGAAGGCAGTGGCGGTAATGGTGGTGGTGTTTGGACTTGAAATATGAGGGTTTTCTGAGAAATTAATTTTTTTAAAAAAATTTACTTGGGAATGGGATGACCATTCCATAGGTTTAGTTGTGAAATGGATTTTTATTCCCTAGATTATCTTTTCAATGGAATGACCATTCTCACTTTAAATTGCATACCAAACAAAGGAATGGTTGTAATGTGCATTCCATTCCTGCACATCAAATATAGCATAAGTTGCTTCACACAAGCCATAATCATATGTCCACTTTATCATAAGTTATGTTAAACAGTGTGTGATTTTTTTTGCTGTGACCTGAGTTTAGCACTTCCGAACTGAGATTGACCAATTCTGCAGAAATAAATTGATCAGATTGAATACTAATAATATGCTCATTCTTACCTCATCATTAGGTACCTGTAACAAACTTCTTTGGTTCAGTCATGGAAACAATTCACACTGATTCAGCTTATAGAGGCCACACAGGCAAAGACTCCAGCAAGGCTAAAATCAAGATATCAATTGATCAACCAGTCAGCCTGGACAAGCGAAGAGCTCTAAGTTCAAACATACAGCAACAAATTAGTGATTCAAACCCGAAGGTGAGAGTTCTGTCAAATTCCCTGCTGCTAGAAATGGTCTTCTGGCAAGTTTCCAGTTATTTTATAAACCTTTTAAAAAATCACGGAAGATGATTTAAAAGAAAGTAATGGACTTATTTTGCAGGATCAACCGGTCTCTTGTCCTTTTACACGAATGTGGAGTAATTTTCAGGACAAGATGGTTAAAATTAAAGACGTTGATACCTTCGTGAACTATGGTTTTTTAGTAATGCTATCACTGGTTGCAGTTTCCACTTGGTTATCATGGTGAAGGAGCCTTTCCTATGTAATTTTTCTCTTGCATATTATTCTCCTTGTTCACACAAAGACACTGAAAAAGAAAAAAGAAAAGAAAAAAAGAAAAGAAAAGAAAAGAAACCGATAACATGTTCTCCAATTTTATTTCAGATTCCTAGAGTATATTTGGCCTGATTGTGATCTCCTGTGTATGCATATCTTTCCCTCCCCTTGATGTTCTTCATTTTTGTAGCAAAGAAGAAATATGAAAATGTGCATACTTATTTTTCTTTGGTACTCCTTTACACATAACCTTTTAGAATCAGAAGTTTTAATGTTAAATGTACTTCAACACAAGGCTCCGAAGCCCACAAAGAAACTGTCGCTAGACCCCCGATCAAGACGACTTGTGACCTTGACTCATCCTTTGAAGGAATCAAGGAATGGGTGGCAATTCCAAACCACCTAAGAAACACTATTTTACCCTTGAATTCGGATGTCGCAAAAAAGTTGACACCATCATCCTTTTAGACCGTAACCTTACACCAGTTTATTCCTTTTCAAATCACCAGAAAAACAAATTTCATAACCAAATCTTATTACATCCACCTTAGTCAAGTATTATATGCTAGAAAGCCCAATTCTCATCAAGGTCCACAGTACACCACCACAATGGGTAAAAAAGCACTCATAGTAGGTCAACACAGAATCTACATCAATTCTGAGCTGATCGAAGTTCAGAACCAGATGAGGTATACTCCATGTCTAAATGTCTTCAAAAAAAAATATTGAACCAGCTACACTAGTGTATTATAAAGCATGGTGACAGCTGCACCCTAGCTTAAACACAAGCTTTAGACTGGTTGACCATAACATTAATATGGAAATATATATCACAACCAGACTGCCTTATGTCATAAAAAATCCTCTTGAAATAGAATATTCAGCTGATGTCACCGCGGTAATTGCAAAAGAATATGAGCACATTGAAGGACTTTTTGCCCGGACGGATCCGGACGATGCACACAACTATTCGGTCGACAACATTGAAGGCCATAACATAGCTAATATGGTAGAAGGATAATCGAGCAACGTACAATACAAAAAAATAGAAAAAATCACAATCAGGCTTCAACACTTAAAAAAATAAAAATAAAAATTCAATAGTCTTATAGTCCCAAAAGATTGTCCTTCAGAGGTTTTAGAAACCTTCAAGTCGTCTAAAATGAAGACATCACCCTAGAACAGAGCCATTGGTACCAAAATTACATGCTAGAAAGCTGGACACAGTACACCACCAGCATGGGTAAAAATTGGGGCAGCCATATTAGGTCAACACAGAATTTACATCAATTCTGAGCCAATCGAAGTTCAGAACCAGATGAGGTATACTTCATGTCTAAATGATCAATGAAGAAAAAACCACAATCAGGCTTCAACGCTTAAATAAATAAGTGAATTATATCACAGAATTCCTCAATCAACAGTCACCGTCTGAGACAGAAGCTTTATCATAAAGGAGGTATGCAGTAGAATCCCTCGGTCAACGGTCACCATCTGAAACGGAAGCCTTATCACAAGATGCATGCAACAAGACACGTGGAAGGCATACAGCAAGATAGAGCCATGCAAGTGTTGTTAAAGGCGCCTCCAGGCGCCTTGAATGCCTTAAGGCGACTGTGTTGTACTAGGAGATCGCCTTTTAGACAAAGGCGCAAGGCACCTTGGCGCCTTGAATGCCTTAAGGCGACTGTGTTGTACTAGATGATTGCCTTTTAGACAAAGGCGCAAGGCTACAAGTGCGCCTGCTTGAAAAATAGTTTTTTTTTTTTTTTTTATAATTATTTTGTTATTATTTTGGTTGTGTATGGTTTATTATTTGTTTATTGTTAGTTTTTATTTGTTTATTACAAAACCTATACAAGACTTACAAGTTACAAAAAAAAAAAAAAAAAAAAAAAAAAAAAAAAAAAAAAAAAAAAAAAAAAGGGAAAATTACGTATAAATGGAGTTAAAGTTCCATATTTACTTAGAGGCTGAGTCAAAGTTCTATATTTCTCTAAAATGGATTGCTGAGGTGGCACATGGTTTTTTACTGTTTAGAAATTGTGATGCCTAAAATACCCTTCCACGAAGGTACTATTTTTTCTTCGAATGTACTACTTTTTTGAACTGAAGGTACTACTTTTTGGCGTCCAGGTACCATGTTTTTTAAACACTCGCGAAGGTACTACTTTTTTGAATTGAAGGTACTACTTTTTTGAATTGAAGGTACTACTTTTTTGAACTGAAGGTACTATTTTTTTATTAGGGAAGGGCATTTTAGGCACCACAATTTTTTAAACAGTAAAAAATCATGTGCCACCTCAGCAATCCATTTTAGAGAAATATGGAACTTTGACTCAATCTTTAAGTAAATATGAAACTTTGACTCCATTTATATGTAATTTTCCCAAAAAAAGAAGAAGAAGAAGAAGAAGACAAAGAAGTACACGAGTGATGAGCGTCACGAGCCTGATTTGCGAAGCTTGGACTCTCGAATCTGCCTGATCTGCATCTGCCGTTCTCCTCCCCTCTCTTCTCTTCTCTTCTTCTTGCTTCTTCTTCTCTTCTTGGATCTGCCAGAGGCCCAGATCTCTCCGTCTCAGATTTTTTTATTTTATTTATTATTATTATTATTTTTTTTTTCTTTCAGTTCTTCTTCTTCTTCTCTATGCTCTTGCTCTTCTTTTATTTTTTTGTTTTTTTTTTTCTCTATTTTTTTATTTTTATTTTATTCTTCTTCTTCTTCTCTCGGCTCTTCTTTTATTTTTATTTTTTCTCTATTCTTCTTCTCTTGCCTCTCTCTGCTCTTCTTTTATTTATTTATTTATTTTTTAGGTTGGTCCTCTGTTTTTATTTATGTTGGTCCTCTTCTATTTTTTTTTTTTTTGGTTGTTGTTGTTGTTGTCGTCTAGATTAGTGCCTTGCATGTGTTTGAACTTTGATGATCAATTTGTTTCTGTTTTTATGCTTGTCTCTGTTACTGCCGGTAATTATTTTTATGCTCGTCTCTGTTTCTGTTGATTTTGTTTACTCCTTATTAATCTGTTTAATAGAAATCAATTAATCACTTACCCAAAAATGAAAAATAGAATCAATCATTCATGGTGCTTACTGCTTATAGAAAATTAGATTGATTTAATTTGAAAATATAGCACATCCTTATGGTTTTTGCAAGATAAATTCATAATTTCTATTTAATGCATCCAAACATGGGTTTTGTTTTTTTGTTTTTTTTGTTTTCAGTCGGGCACGCGCCTCGCCTTGTGCCTCAGGTTCCGGGAGGCATTTGCGCTTTTGTGCGCCTTGAGCCTTTAATAACTATACCGAGATTATTATGAGGTGGTAGAGAGAAGCCATCATAGCTCACAATCTGTATATCAAGTAGAGAGTTTTCGTTTGTAATCACAGAGTACCATTATCTGTAGAGTGTTTTCATTTGTAATCCTTGGGTGTCGTATATAATATTGTGAGAAGTATGTTTGTATCCATATACAAAGTTTTCCTTCAACAAAATTCTACCTTGTTCTATAGTTTCTTTCTTCCTTTATTCTCTTAGTTTTCTCTGATTTTTCGGGCAACGACTTCAGCTCGGCGTAAAAAGTCAGTGAGCTATATATTTCCTTCAGCAAAATAGTAGATCTTGGTTTCTTTTGAAAGGCATTCGTGTAGACCAGCTCAATATTCAACAATTCACGTGAATTTGGCTCGAACTGTTGGCTCATTGGCCCATTGGTGTAGGGAGTTTTTCGAAACAGATTGGGAGTTTATAATCAAATTTTTAAAGTAGTGGATATTTTTTGAAATTAGTCCTTTTATTTTATCCTCATAAATTAAAATGACTCAAAACTAGGCTGTAACTCGGGCGAGTTGGGCTGGTTTGAGGTATAACTTGAGCCCAACCCGTCATATAAAATACTAAACCCAAGTCCAACCTTAACCCTATCGTCAATCTTAATTACTTAACCCAAACTCAACCCATTCTTATCCTTTTAAATTCAGACTTGCAACTCAGGATTAGATTCCGGGTAAAAAGTTAAGATTAATTCGAGTTACTCATATGGCTAATCCTTATACCGAAAATTTAATATGATCTTGAATTAGTTTTAGATTAAACTACACTTAAACAAAAAAAAAGTTTAAAGAATTTTTGGTAGATTTTTAATAAATTATAACAAATTTTTTAAAAATTAATTATCCTAAATATTAACATAAAATAAGTTAAGATTTAACAAAAGAAGTTCAAAAAAAAAAAAAAAAAAAAAAAGAAAAAGAAAAAGAAATGATCATACTTTAAATATTATATATAATGTATTTAGAAGTATATATATATAGCATTAGAATGCGGGTTCAGGTTGGCTTGAGTTGCTAGCACTTCAATCCCAGCCTAACCTTAATTAAATACTGGTTGAGATTTTTCAACCCAAACTCAACCTTAATTAAATACTGGTTGAGATTTTTCAATCCAAATACAACCCTAATTGAAAAAATAATTATCTAAACTCATAAAAATATTGGGCTGAACTCAGGTTAGTTTGGATTATCCAACCCAAATTGCACTTCGGGCTCATTGGTTCGTGGAGCTCGAGATAATACTAACTAGGATACGGCACATGAACACACTACCAAGTTTTAACGAGCATGTAGACATTGTTTAACCCCTTTCCTTGTTTTTTGTTTTTTTGTTTTTTACTTTTTCTATTATTATTATTATTATTATTATTATTTATTTGCCCTCACAATAATCTATTTTGTAAGATGATTCCTACAATAAAAATCACAAAAGTAGCGTGAGCAGGAAGTACCATTGTCGTTATCTCGCATCTTCGATCCATCCGGCGCACGTTACCAATTCTTTGATTATATATTACCAAAGTCCGTTGACGTTCTCATCTCCGGCCGGCCTCTTCGATTTCTATTTCCGATCACGAGTTGGTAAGCTCTAGAACCTCACGCGCGCGCGCGCGCACACGTACACACACATACATGCATATATATACACACACACACACATATCCGTATGTGTATGTGTTCACGCATCATGATCAAATTGGCTTCTCTTGAATTCGATCTACGATGTATCTGATACCTTTTTAGACTATATATTTTTTAATGTTGTGTAATCAGAGGTAGTTTGTGGAGAATTAGACCGATCTGTATTAATTCAATGACTAAAGTGGAAAAATTTGCAATCTGTGGATTGAATTTTTTTTTTCTTTTTTCATTCAAGCCTTTTTTTTGTTGGTTTATTAGAATATTTCAAGAAAGAAAATCACATGCCATTTTTCTGTTAATGACATTTAGTTCGAAACCCAGATTGTGTTGAAAGGCAATTAGGAATTTAGGAAAGGGATCAGTTGGCTTAATGTTGTTGAGTATTTTCATACTTCAAAGTATGTAACAGTGCCAACATGTAAGACTTCAAATTGGTTTCTTCTAGTTTCCTTTGCTTTCTCAGCAACCAAACAGGGTTTTAATGAATTACGGATATAAAGAAGAAGGAACTCACAGAAAGAAAAGAAATAAACATTGTAAAGACATTTAGAGACATACATGAAACAGACACATGAACACACTACATGGGATTTTTTCCCCTCTTTCTTTATAAATATTTCTAGTTCTACGAAGATTATTGTGAAATTTGATTGTATTTCCTAATTACTAGTTGCAATAGGATACTGGACGAGGTGAGATCGGGGTATTCCACGTGCTCAAAAGAAAAGATGACGGAACAGAGGAAAGTTCCATGTTTGCTTGATCTTTGTGTTCAAACAGCAGTAGATAATGTTAGGTATCTTGGGGATGTTGGGGAAACAGATATACATCTCCTTGGGCGCATTTTACCACACTGTACATTTGATCAGTTGATGCATGTCGAGAATTCGACAGAAGTAAGACAAACTATCTTCTTCATTAATCATTAAATTGGTATAACATGGTTGAAATGTTCTCGGAATTTTTAATTACATTTTTATTTGAAATGCAGGGAAGAGATCTTAGCCCAGTAACTAATAAACTGTGGAAGAAGTTTTATGAGAAACAATTCGGTGCTAAGAGTACCGATCTTGTAGTTGAGAGGATGAAACAGAGGAAAGTGTCATTTAAATGGAAACAATTGTATGAGGTAATCATTTTTTTTGTTATTTCCCTTTATCTGAAGTTATCCACAGTTCTAATCTTTTCTATTTCTTGATTGTATTTAGGTAATTGCATTTTCAATTCACTAAGAATTTTTAGATGTGAGTTTGATTGTAAATGAACTGTTTTTTAACAATTGGGTGATTTACTTCCAGGCAAAGACAAAAGCCTTGGAGGTGGCTCAACAAAAGTCATTTGATCGAATCAAGGAACTATATAAGAAGGAGGATGCTCGTAAGATCTTTATAATCTAATTTAGTTATTTCCTTAGAAACCTTAAATGCACACGTCAGATTACCATTTACTTTTTTTTTTTTTTTGATAAGTCAGATTACCATTTACTTTAACTGAGAAATAACAGGAAGGGCGTGATTTGATCAATTTAATAGTGATATTACAAGGAGGTTTTGTGAATTTAACCCTATTTTATTCTTTTATCGCATTGTATGATACAATTGTATAATAGAAGACCTTCTTTCTGTGCAAAGCTTTCAGTTCTATACAATTTGTTTAATTTCCAAATAATGACCTGCTGGAATTTCTGAGCTGTTACTGATTTAGTGTTTGGAGCATTTAGATTAAGGCTTAAAGGTAGAGAAGAAGTTTCACTGTTATGAATGAAGGGCTTATTTGACAGAATAAAGGGAAAGAAAACTACTTGTGGATTAAAAAACAAATATATTACTGGAAATAGAAGTAAAGAAGAATCTATGAGAGGTAACAGACTTACAAGAAGCATGGACACTTTTATTAAGGAGCCGTATCATTGTTAGACATGTGTCTGTGAGACACTTTAGGACCCGTGTTTGACACATCTTGGCCATCTCCATAGAACACGTGTTTGTTGGTGTGCCTTGTATTAATACAAATTTTTGTCCAGTCATATTCCTTTGATAAAATTATCAGTCTCCCATTTAATTAACAAAATGCTCTCCGGATCATATTCTACTATCACTTCATGGTCTCAGATGCTGTTTCTTCAAATAGATTCAAAGTTTTGGTGCCTTGTTTATATTGAAATTCTTACCAATTGCTTAATTCTTGCAGGGAAGCAAAGTCGTCAAGTTCAGATTTGCACAAAGGTTCCACCTTCAAGCAGTAAAAGAAGCTTCTATGGAGGTATACTTTTTGTATCCTGTTGAGTCCCTTAGTTCATTGGAGTCCGGTGATCCATTATATGAATTTAGACAATTAACAGCACCTTGCATAGGCTAAGACACTGAAGTGGATGCATTTTGTATTTGGTCTTTAATTGTTTTACATTTAAAAAATGTTGGTAGGTGGACCTGGTAGCAATATCTCCAATACGAAGAGCAACATGATGAAGAAGGCAAAACTGGAATTTCTCAATAGGTAAAAAGTTCTACAAAGATGAAGTTTTAATGTTGAGATGTCTTTTTTCACTTACGATTTAAAATTCAGGAGGACCTTTAATTTATTCCTTCTTACAATTGTACTTCCATATAAAACATTATAGCTAACATCCTAGGTTTATTTGGTAAAATATTAGGGAGGGCCTAACAAGTGTCAGCCATGTATTTGAGATTAAAAAAAATATTGTTTAATTGTTCAACACGTCCAAGATGTGTCTTACACATCTGGGAGTGTTTGGGAGTGTTTGAGAAGTGTGGTTGCCCCTAACTTGTACGATCAGAAGTGTCTGCTTCTTAGCTCCCAAATATATCAACCTTGTAAAAGAATGTGGTGGTATAATATGACTTAAAAGACCTTTAATCATTCTATCAGAATGATCTTTCATTTTAAATTTTGCTACATGCATATGTGCTGCTGGGACTTGCATATTGTTTGGTCCTTGTGCTCACCTGAATGCCAAATGTAGAAGAAACTACTACTTGGTAGTTAACCAATTTTATTCTCTTTTTTTCTTTTTAAACAGTCGAGAGGTGAAGAATTTAGCAGCTATGAAGAACAACTCCTTGCAAAGGAATCACTGGTAAAGTTGTTTATTCTCCATATTTGTCCGTATATCTGGAGAGTTATATGTATATGCATTTTGTCAGTCATTGAATCTTGCTTCTTGTTACAGTGTCTCTTCTATGAGGAAGCCAGGTGGTTTTTCTGGGACAAGTTGTGCTTCTACTTCCAAACTTACTAAGCCGATTGGGAGGAGAGTCTAGAAGACCTTTTGTCAATATTGGGCGTTGCCGTTGGTTCTAAAGTTCAATTTTCAATATTCAGTGTATCCTTGTTGTCTTCATTCCAAGAAGATGATTAAATGTTGTTGTTATCTGTGTTTTTCACGTTTGATTTTAATATAATTTCAAATTGGCGACACATTCACATGTACGTTGACAATGATTGTTGTAATCTAGCCATTCAGTTTTGATTCAAACTATCACTCTAGGTTGTTGATGCCACACTGCAGCATACAAAAGAACGGGTGTTTTTTTGGGCAAAAATTAAAAATAGATTTTTATGCAATTTGCCCATAAAAAATAAAATAATATAAAAAATAATGCGATGGGGGGTAACATGGACAATATGAACTAATGCTGCGTTTTGGTGTGAATGGAATGCTCATTCCAATTATTCCTTTATTTGATATGCAATTTAAAGTGAGAATGAGCATACCATTGGAATTAAAATTTATTTCACAACTAAACTTATAGAATGATTATTCAATTCTCAAGTAAATTTTTTTTAACAAAATAACTTTCCAAAAAACCTTCCAATTCGAAAAACCAGCACCATCACCACCAACACAACCACCTCCGCATTTCACCACCGCCACTATTACCACCACCATTGTTGCCACCTTCAACTGCCACACTATCGCCGCCTCCATTGCCTTCCACCACTACACCTTCGACCACCACGACCGTCATTGCCACCACCCGTGTGTCACCATTACCGCCTACATCATCATCATTGCCACCACCACCGCCACCACCTATATCATTGCCACCTTCCACCCTTGCCACAACTATCACTATGCCACAACCACCACTGTCATCGCCTTCAACCACTACCACATCGCCGCCGCCTCCATAACCTTCCACCGCCACCTCCACAACCTTCCACCGCCACCTCCATCAATATCGCCACTGCCACCGCCATTAACTTCCATTACCGCCCCTGCCACCGCCACCGACTTTCACCACCGCCTTCCACATTCCACCACCATCGCCACCACCTTCCACCACCACTGCCGCCGCCTTCTACCACCACCATTGCCACCTCCACTGCCTTCCACCACCACCGCCACCACCTTCCAACATCGCCGTCTTTGATGATCGTGGAATGTTGCACAAAGTTATATATCTTAGCTCTTTAGTAATGCTTATGTATTTATACTTACATCATTTACTTGGTTTCGGCTATTTTCAGGTATTCATCGTCAAAACCGGTCAATTCTACCTAATTCAAGCCTTTTGTGGTGTTTCCAAAGATCAGGGTGTGTTCGGGAATGATATCAAGCTTCAAAGAATGAAAAAGGTCAAAAATGCATGTGAAGCTACGATCGATCGTAGCTTCCCTAAGATTGATCCGAATGACTCCAGTGCTTAATTTAGCAAATTACAAGTTTGCCAAAGGCAATCATCCCTCTGCCAAGGTTACGATCGATCGTAGCCTTGGTACGATCGATTGCATCGGAGCATAGGATTGATTGCAGGTTACTTACGATCGATCCTAAACATATGAGACTTAAATCCTATTTGATGTGGGATTTGGATAATTCACTCATTTCTTACCTTATACGGGCCGGACTTCATCAAAAGCTTATGGAATACATTCAAGGCCTGTTCTGGAGCTTATTTAGGGTATGATTACCACAATTGAAAAAACCTTTTGGAAGATTAGTGATCTAGAGAGAGATTGGTGGCTTGAGGCTTTTCTCCATTGAAAAAGGTGTTCCGATCAAAATTGGCAGTCCTTGGAGATGGCATTCAGCACATCATTGAAGATTTCTTCCTTCTCCATGAGTAGCTAAATTTCCTATTAGGGCATTGATGTAACCCTAGCCAAGTAATATATGTTAATTGCTTAAATTGCTTAAATTTTTGGGGATCATTTCTGGATTATGTATATTGATTGCATGGTTAAGAGAAATTGAATTAATAGTACTAAGCAATTGAGTTTTAATGATTATAATCAGTTTTTGATGAAATCTATATCTTGTCTTAGAATTGATTTTACTTTAATTGAATTCAAACTTCTTTTATTGTGAGAGATTGGCGGCTAAAAGCTTCTCTTAATGGTAGGAGTAGTTATCATGCAACGGTGCTTAAATGAATATGTGAGTGAATAGTTTGATAGTTCATGCCTAGGGAAGGCGGGTTGTACTGCAAAATAGATTAGAGTAGTTAGGTGAACAGGTCGTGCCAACCAAAGATGAATTATGCTTAGTGTTTGTTTACATATATCTTTCTTTATTTGAATTGGAAATGAGGGTGAGGCCACTCGATTCGCGAATATACATGAATTATGCTTAGTGTTTGTTTACATATATCTTTCTTTATTTGAATCGGAAATGAGCGTGAGGCCACTTGATTCGCAAATATACATAAATACGAATTTCCCCAGAAAATACTACAATTGACCGCTTTATGAGGCCAGTGGTGAAGTCAATTCTTAAGTTTTCCCCTTCTCTTAATACATATTCTATTTGAGCTTAGTTTAATTTTAGTTTTTAGAAATAGAAAACTTATCAGAATTCTTCTCTTGGATTAAATATAGAATTGGTTTTACACTTAATAATACCCCTCAATCCTTAAGGTTCGACACCTTCTATATAGTCTTATCATGCAAGGTCGTTCTATTGTGAGTGGTTTATCATTGATAACACGACACATCACCATTTCACCACCACCGCCTTCCACCACCACCACCACCATCCACGATAACTGTTGCCATCGCCTTCCACCACCAATACCTTACATCACTGCTGCCACTGACTTTCACCACCGCCACCTCCTTCCACCACCACCACCGTCGCCGCCACCGCCACCGCCACCGCCACCGCCACCTTCCACCACACTACTACCACCGCCACTACCTTCCACCATCGCCACTGCTGCCTTACAACACCACTACCGCTTTCCACTTCCACCACCATCGTCTCCGCCATCCACCACCACTGCCATTTCTTTTAAAAAAATTTAGAATAGCGTTATTTTGTTAATTTAATTTATTTGTCAATAAGAGAGGTATTTTAAAGAATTAAATTTGAAATTAATTTCATTCTAAATTTTAAATTGGTCCAACTAAACACTAGAATGATTACTATTATTCCGTTTCATGTTGACCAAATTTTAAAGAATGGTGGTGGAATCATTTTTGACCAAAGGGGGACAAGGTACCAAAGGTTGGGTTTTGCATTTTTGTTCACAGTTACTATTCACTAGAATGTTTTGGTTTGTACGACCGGTTGCCAAAATCTATGACCGGTAGTAGCTTGCCATGTGCAATCACTAGCATGCGCGTAGTGTGTGCTCATGAGTATCTGGGTTCTGGACTACCGGTAGTCCATATTGGCTATTGGTCGTCCATTTGTTTTTCTGTTAGACAACTTTTTCATCTGAACTTGAAATAGTCATAACTTGCTCATTTTAAATCCAAATTAGATCATTCTTGAGTCGAAATTCAAGGATTTTGAGTCATCTTTCTAATGGTACCAATTAAAATTTCAAATTCCATTCCTACTGAGAGATATACTTTTTTTAGTGGGACAGTATCGGAAAATCACTTGACCGAGAGGGGGTATCTGTAGGAAACCATAACTAAAGACCTCAAAACCTCTTGGAATGTTATGAAATGATTACAATGAATTGAGTTCATCTCATTTAACTTGTTTAGAGTCAAATTTCCTCCTCATTGGGTAAAATGACCATTTTACCCCTAGTTCCACATTATGTTAGTTTTGACCTTTGCTTGACCATTTTACCCCTAGTTCCACATTATGTTAGTTTTGACCTTTGCTTCCGCATTTGCATTCGATTTGAGTCTTGTGATTGCTTATGAGGTTTTTTTTGTCATCCTAGAGGTGGTGCTTACCTTTAGTGACCTTTTCCATTATTTTTCCTTCCGCATTTCAGATTTGATATCAGGTCGAGTTTTAGTCTTCTTGGTTAATGCACCTGATCACGGGATTCGGGGCGTTACAAAGTAGCTGCTTGAAATAGGTTAATGCTTCCTCCTTGATCTCATCATTTGAGGTACGTGTGGTACCTGCAACATTAACCAAACTTACAATTTTCTTGCTATTGTATCTGGATAGCAAAAGCCTCGTGGAAATATGAGGTGTTCTGGTCTTCTAACTGCAGCCATGTAATTCTTGATTTTTGCTTAGTAATACTCTCCTCTGCTAGTAGCATTTGAGTTTAGGCAACTTAGAGAGCTCAAAGTCAATAGAGGATAAGAAAAGAGGGTGAGAGGACCAAGCATTAAAGTATTTGAAGGGAATTGTTTTCCTTTGAGCTAGCATGGGATGGATTTTGACAAATATGGGACTATGGTTAGAGATGCTAGGTGGGAAGAATTTGTATTCTAATTGGGGAAAACAAGTGTGCCATCGACAATTGATAAGTGCTCTATCAATCTTCCTTGTTATGTCGATACTAGATTCATTAGATGTATAATAAACATACAACTAACATGCACGTATTTTTCGGAGGATTCTTAAGCACATCGCGCCTAACAAATATTGAACATTTTTTTTTTTGGGTTCAACTTCCCCAAAATTAGTATAATTGCTGTGTTCTTTCCTTCTGTGAATAAGGTACCACTTCCTCTCGCCACTCTAAATTAAAATTTTGTGTCTTTTGTTACATGGATCATATGAGAAAGGGAAAGTCAAGTACAAAAAATATTGGGTAAGAATTGTTAGGAGAAATTTGTGACAAATTGAAATTATTTGAGGAAAACATCACTCTCAATATCACTTCTGACGATCTCAGAGAAGGCATTCAGTGGTGTAAACAGAATCTTATTGGTAAACTATTCAAGGATAATGGTGTTAATGTGGGAGGTCTTCGAGACACCCTTGACATGGTCTGGCTCTGCAATTCTTCGCTTAAAGTTTTACACATATCAGACAATTTTTTCCAGTTTATCTTAAAAAATAGTTCTATTCAGCAAAGTGTCCTGTCTACAGGTCCATGGCATTTCGACAATCATCTCCTTATTTTGATCCCATGGAGTCCTAATCTTATTGTCTCTGACAACCTTTTTCGTACAGTTGATTTGTGGGTGTATCCCTCTAATCTGCCTCTAGAAGGTTATAATGCTTGTGTTGGTCATTGGATCGCCGCTTCCTTCATTAAGGCTATGGCAGTGGAGGTCCGAGAGAATTCTAAAGCTGGTGGACGTTTTATCCGATTGCGGGTTTCGGTGGACATCTCTCGTCCTCTGTGAAGGGGTATTTGATTTGCCATCGATGGCACTCCAAGGTGGGTCCCATTCAAGTATGAGCGGTTACCTTCTTTTTACTATTTTTGTGGCTGTCTGGGGCATACCATAAAGAGGTGCAAAGCAGAAGAGTTTACTTCTATTAATCGGCCCACCACCAATCTCCCCTTTGGCCTTGATTTGAGATATGATGGCCCCTCTGGTGTGCTGGTATCATCTACCGACCCATCCTATGCTTCTTCTCTATCTTTTTCGGTCGGATCCATGACTTTCCGGCTCAGACGGTTGTCCAATCACCAATGAACAGGGGTCGTCCTCTCGTGATGGCATCAATGACGTAGGTCATTTACAGTCCTCAGTACATACTCTTCCTACTCAAGTCTCCTCCATCACGTCAGTTGCTAGTTCATCCATAGTGATGCCAACAGCTGGCCTTGCTTCAACAAGTTATGGTTTTATCCTTTTCTCATCTAATTTAAACCCCAGTGAGCTGTTTATTGATACTTTTTTGGAATTAACAAGCAAGTTGGGCCATTCTCCAGCCTGTTCTACTTCCTCTCATTGGGCCACTCACCCTTTTAAGGCCCGCATCAGTGTGAGTGATTTGTTGGGCCACTTAATGACCGCGGGTCCTATCTTGGTCCAAGGCATTGGCTCAGATGTTTGCATCTTAGTCAATTTTCCCTATGCAGTGGCCCAAGCCCCTGCTGGAAGGGAGGTTTCTCAAATTATTGATCAGGAAGATACGGTGAAAAAGGGGCGCACCGAGGCTTTCTCTCTCTCTACTTCCATGCAACGGGATAGTCAACTTCCCATTTCGAAAGGGTTCTCAGTTCAACATTACTGGAAGAGGAAAGCTAAAGTTGTAATTCCCTCTTCCCCTCTCACGTCTAGTATAAAGGTGGAAAAATGGAAACTCTTTGATATGGGTTCGAGCTTGGATCACGACAATCTTAATCTGAAGAGGCAGTGCCAAGCTTTGGAGGATGGTGGTTCAATTTGCAAAGGCTCTAGTCTGGTTGACAGGTCTTTTGAATAGGTAGAGGTGACTAACCCTAATTGGTCCCCATGAAAGTTATGGTGTGGAATTGCCAGGGTGTGGGGAAACCCCTGACAATTTCCCAGTTGAGGAGGCTCATCCACTTCCATTCCCCTCAAATTTTCTGTCTTTTAGAAACTAAAAATCAAAATGAAAAGATTGATAGCATCCATAGGCTTTTGGGCAATTTTGATGTGTTTACTATTCCCCCTCGCTGGACGGCAGGAAGTCTAGCCCTTTTATACTCTAGTGGCCTTGATGTCTCAGTTATAGACTATTCTGATTTCCAAGTTTCCTGTGTGGTTGACATGGGCCTCTCTGCACAGTCTTGGGTTTTTACTGCAGTCTATGCGTTGTGTGATGATTCCATAAGGGCCAATCAGTGACGTTATCTCCAATGTCTTCAATCTCGCCTTTGTTCTAGGTGGTTATTGCTTGAGGATTTTAACGCTATGCTTCATCCTCAGGAGAAGTGGGGAGGCACATTTTCTCAGGCTTGGACCCTGCGTGATTTTCGTCAGTTTTTATCGAATTGTAACCTTTTGGATACAGGTTTTAAGGGTTCCCGTATACTTGGTGTAATCATAGGGAGCGTCTTCACACTATATGGACCAAGATCGATAGAGGTCTTTGCTCTCAGGATTGGTTAAGTGCTTTCCCTCATTATTCCCTCTTTCACCTCCCAACTCCGGTTTAGACTATGCAACCCTTTTGCTAGTTTTTAATGTTCAAACTTATCATGGGTCGCGACAATTCTTTTTTGATGCTCGCTGGCTCAAATTCCCAGAATGCTCTACTATAGTTAAAGATTCATGGGATTCTCCTTTTCAGGGATCCATCCTCTTTAAAATAAAAGAGAAACTTAAAATTTGCAAAGCTAATCTCAAGAGCTGGAACAGGGGACGTAATCACAACTCCCATCACCGTATTCAGCAAATTCAAGACCAACTTGCTACCTTAAAATCTAATTGTAATCTATTTGATCGCTCCGCAATCTTTCGGCTTGAAAGAGAGTTGGCAGAGGAATGGCGAAATGAGGAAATCTTTTGGAAGCAAAAGTCTCGCCTAACGTGGCTTAATCTTGGGGATAAAAACACGGCTTTCTTTCATCGCAAAACTTTTATTCGCCGTCGAAAGAAGGAGATTTCTGGCATTGAAGATGAGTAGGGCATTTGGCAAGACTCCAAAGACGTGGTTCGTGGCATTACTAAGTAGTACTTTCAAAACCTCTTCCAATCAGTCTCATCTAATCCAGGTGATGATTTTTGGACTCTTATCCCTTCTCTCATTTCGGCCGAGATGAACAATGAGATTATTAAAAGAGGTATAGAGGAAGAATTAAAGTTAGCTTTATCTTCCATGGGCCCTTCAAAGCTCCCGGCCCTGATGGATTCACCCTTCTTTTTTTCAACGCCATTGGGATGTTTTTAAAGTTGATTTTCTTAACGGTTTCAATGTTTTCCTTAAATCAGGTCACGTGCTTCACAACATTAATCATACAAATCTAGTTCTTATCCCCAAAGTCAAGCATCCCACTAAAATGTCTCATTTTCGGCCTATTAGCCTCTACAATGTTATTTATAAAAAAATTTCCAAAGCTCTAGCTAACCGCCTACGCCCACGCCTTCTCATGAAGCACCTCATCTCTGATCATCAATCTACCTTCGTGCTTAACAGAATTATTCACGAGAATATCCTTCTGGTCCACGAATTTCTGCATTATCTCAAATTCAAGTCAGGTGGAAAGAGGGATTTTCTAGCTTTCAAGTTGGATATGGAAAAAGCCTATGATCGCATTGAATGGAGTTTCCTCGAAGGAATGCTTCACGGGTTTGGTTTCCACCCTATTTGGTGCTCTGTGATTATGTCCTATATTTCCTCGATCTCCTTCTCTATTGTTATTAATGGTGAGGCTGGTAGGTGTTTTCAGCCTTCTCGGGGTCTACGCCAAGGAGATCCTTTATCTCCATTCCTTTTTCTTCTTTGTGCAAAGGGCCTAAGCTTATTGTTAAAGCATGCTGAAAGCACTTATTCGATTCACGGAGTTCAGATTGGCCAATCAGTCACCAAAGTTAGCCATATGCTTTTTGTGGATGACGCTATCCTGTTTTGTAGGGCTGAAGCTACTGAGGTTACCAAGCTCATGGACATTCTCGACCTGTTTTCTTCTCTTTCAGGCCAGCGTGTTAATTTCTCCAAATCTGGTGCTTTTTTTAGCAAGAACACTGACCATTCCCTGCGCCTTTCTCTATGTAGAATTATGCGCATCCAACTTTCTAATTAGGCTAACAAATATTTAGGTTTCCCATCTCTCATTCATCATTCTAAAACAGAAGCCTTTAAATTTTTGAAAGAGCGATTGGAGGCCAAGGTAAAATCTATGAAAGGTCACTTTCTGTCTCGGCAGGCCAGGAGATGATGCTTAAATCAGTGCTTGTTACTCTTCCTATTTATGCTCTCCAATGCTATAGAATTCCCTCATACATTGCTGAAGAAATTACTTGTAAGTTCCGTCTATTTTGGTGGTCCGACAAAGACGAAGGTAATCCAATTAATTGGATTAAATGGGCTGATTTATGTCATTCTAAAAATAATGGTGGGCTGGGTTTTAGAGACTTGGAAGATTTCAATCTTGCCCTTTTAGCCAAGTTCGGTTGGTGTCTGGAAATGGGTGACAGTTTGAATGATCAATCCCTGTTTTTTACTGTCTTCAAACAAAAGGATTTTCGTGATAAATCCTTTCTCAATTCGTCTTGTCCAGCCAATGCTTCTTGGGGCTGGCGCGGTATCTCAACTACCAAAAACCTTATTAGAAAAGGTATTGCATGGAGGGTGGGAGACGGTGCTGATATTAATATTCGGGACGATAATTGGCTACTAGACCTCTCCAAACCTGTTATTTCTACTCCTTATGTTCATCCCTCATTACAGAAGGTTGAAGCCCTCATTGATCATCATACTCGTTCTTGGAATCATGTTTTGATCCGTCAGCACTTCAACGTCAGAGATTCTAACCTTATTTTTCAGATCCTTCCTGGGATGTCAGGTGGTTCGGATCGTCGGTATTGGTTCCTCTCTTCAGATGGAAATTTTTTTGTTAAGTCAACTTATCGGTTTGCCCGGTCTCTCCACGAGGTCGACAGCTCTCATCTCCCCTCTTCTAGTCATTCGTAATCAAAGTTATCCCTGTGGAATGCCATTTGGAAAATTAAAGTTCCCCGTAAATTTCTTTTCTTCCTTTGGCAATGTTGTCATGAGCAGATTCCCACCCTTTCCAAGCTTCATTTTCTTAAGGTGGTGGCTGACTTAACTTGTCCCAGGTGCGGTCTTTTTGAGGAATCTGTTTCGCACCTTATTTTCACTTGCCTTTTTTCTCGCTTAGTGTGGAAAGCCTCTCCGCTTCGAGCGGTCTTCCCGGATTCTGAAAACAGGTCATGGTCCCAAATTTAGCTTTCTCTTGTGACTAATTGGAAGCATAGCCATCTTTTCAATGATTTTTGTAGTTTGGGGAGTTCCATATGTTGGCATCTTTGGAAGGCTTGGAATGACCTTCATTTTAAGCAACTTCAATATGACGTTTTAGAGGTGGTCCACAAGGCCATCTCATCTTTTCAAGAGTTTGCCGAGGTTGTGTCTCAGCAGGTTCTGCTTTCACCTCAGTTGGTTCCTCGCTTCCAGGCTCCGTCTCGGTGGTTTCCTCCTGCTATGGGGCGTCTTAAGTTAAATTGTGATGCTTCTTTCTTAGCTGGTTGTGGGGACTGTGGTGGGGATCTCATCCTTCGGGATTCTTCTGGATTTCCCATTAAAGTTGCATCATTTTTTAAGCCTTTCATTAGTTCAGCTGAAATGGCAGAAACAGTTATTCTCAAGGATGGTCTCTCCTTTTTGCACAACTGGGGATATGATAATGTGGATATTGAGGGCGACTGTTTGTCAGTTATGTCCCTTTCTCCTCAGTCTTCTTCTCTTTGGCCTGTGATTGAAGATATTAAAACTTTATTGGGCCTTTTGGTGGATTGCTCTCTACTTTGGGCTCCTCGCTCTTGTCATGGAGCGGCTCATGCCATCAGTCGATCTCCCTTCGCTCTCACTCTTCGGATCTGTCTTGGGATGTTTGGCCTGGCTGGCTCTTTTCTATTGTGGAGAAGGACCTTCCTCCTCTTCGTGGATGAAGTGTTTTGCTCCTTTGGCTTGTTTTGTGCTTGGGCTTTTGCCCTCTCTTTCCTTATTCTGGTAAAAAAATAATAATAAATAAATAAATTGCACCTATTTCAAATATATGTGGAGACAACTCACTGATCTAAACCCGAAATCCACAAAAATAAGTTACGGGTAATACTTCAATGAGTTTGTAAAATAAGTTACAATAATACTGTGAATTAGACCGAACATTACAATATTTTTAGTATAGGAACGACACCAAACATTATTTCACTATATAGGATTTGGATCCGCTGAAAAAAAAAAAAAAAAAAAAAAATGAAAAAAAAGGGTCCCCACAGCTCTTTCTAGTAATATGATGCAAGTCACAATGTCACATCATGTGACTAGGGGTGGCAAAAATCCCCAATCCGGTGGGGAACCGCCCCGCCCCCGCCCCATTTAAAGCGGGTTTGGAGAACCATTTACTTAAATGGGGTGGGGATGAGGGTTAAAAAAAAACCCGGCCGATTGGGGGGGCGGGGGCGGGGGACTAAGATCCCTGCCCCATAACCGCCCCGTTTAATATTTTAAATTACTAATTTATCCTACCATGTTAATATATTTACCAAATTAACTTTCACACACACACTCTCTCTCTATATATATATTGGAAACCCTACACTTAACACTTCTATATATATATATATATATATATATATATATATATATGTATATATATGTGTATATGTGCTATGATTGTGTTTAAATATAATCGGTTATGGGGTGGGGGCGGGGGTGGTTATGGGGATTAGAGGTAAAAAATTAACCGGTTATGGGGCGATTTTGGGGGCACCTAAATTAAACGGGGGCGGGAATGGGGAATGTGAAACTCGCCCCAAACCGCCTCATTGTCATCTCTACATGTGACTACAAGATTTGGAAGTAGTTATTTGTCGTCGAAAACACACACACACACACACAAAAAAAAAAAAAAAAAAAAAAAAAAACTAATATGATTTGGGTCGGCTAAAAACCAAATAAATAAAATAAAAATTAAAAAAAATATGAACTGTCCCCACAGCTCTTTCTACTAATATGGTGGCGAGTCACAGTGTCACATCATGTGATGTGACTTCAAGACTTGGAAGCAGTTATTTGTGATGCGGAAATAACCCGTCGAAAAAACACAAAAACTAATTTTCCATTTTTTTAAAAAAATTTAATTTAATGTTATTTTATTTTTCTCGCTAAGAAGAAACCAAAAAAACCAATACTGCTAGTTCTTGAAAGAGTAGTGTACCATCATCATCAAGAAGCCCTGATCTGTTGTGTTGTGGGATCACATTCCGATCCACCTTCTCGTTGCTGTGTTGTGAGATCACAGGTCTGCGCCATCAAAACAATCCAAAGCCAAATTGGGTTTGTATCTCTCCCTCGAACTCTTTGGGATCTCATATCCATATCTCGCTTCCTTTCGCAGTCGTTTTTGTTTATCATTTGATTGTTCTGCTCCTTTTTTGGATTTCAAATCATTTTTTTTCCTTCAATTTTTTGATTATTTGCTGTTCTTTTTGCTTGTTTTGGGCAACATTAAACACACATATATGTGTGTGTGTAAGAATGTATGTATATATATTTTCCCAAAAAGCAGCAAACCCACTTGTATAATGTCAATGCTCCTTTTTTGGATTTCAAATCATTTTTTTTCCTTCAATTTTTTTGATTATTTGCTGTTCTTTTTGCTTGTTTTGGGCAACATTACACACACAGATATATATGTGTGTGTTAGAATGTATGTATATATATTTTCCCAAAAAGCAGCAAACCCACTTGTAAAATGTCAATCAATAAAGAGTCCCTGAGTAAATAGCTTGATGAACTAACTCCTATGAATTTCATTTGATAGATTAAGTTACAATTAGTTGTTAGTTCTGCTAATACAAGTCTTATTTAGCATTAAATAATAAATTAAAATTGAGTTTAAATTAAGGGTTTCTTGCTTTTTAGCATATGGTGTAAAAATTATATCTTGGATCTATGTAAGAGTCTTTTAAAATAGCAAAAGTAGTTCTAACTAGATTAGCAGTTTAGGCTATGATTTGATTAATGCAAGCTTGTCATTTGGAGTTGGTATCCAATTATTGTTCTGTTAATTTTTGTGGAAATTAAAATTGAGTTCAGTCTTGAGGGTCTTTAGATTTTTGTGCGTTATACAGAAATTAGAAAGCAGGTTTTGAAGCAGACTAAAATGTTTCTCACTAATTATATTCCGGGGATGTTTGATTACCCACTATTAAATGTTGAAAATCAAGTACTTTTCAATGGTTTTCTATTAAGCTCATTCGATACAATTATAAGAGGTCTGGATTTTCTGGTACAGAAGCTTGACTTTTAGTTATCACTTGACAAACTAGCGGAATTTAAACTTTTGTTAATGTTATTTTTATGCATGAGAAATGATTTTATTTTCAATGCATGGGGATGATTGTTGAATCATGAATTTTGTGCATAGAACTTTTGTGTATTTACTTGAAATAAACTCTCTTGGCTATTGAAAAATATGGTACTACATGTTGAGTATTTCTGTGCAAAAATGTATGCCAATTTGATGATTTGGTAAGTGAAATGAAAATGAGGCATGTTGAATGCCATTAATTTTGGTCGAATGCATAATGTGGTGTAATACCAATTGGGTGTAATGATTTCCACCTCTGGAGGGCCACTAATTAGGGTAGCAACAATCTTGGAGTGGGTGGCAATGCATTGGGAGTTGTCACAACTCCAAATGTGTTGTGGTGTTTAATATATGGTCCCATTTGTTTTGCTATTTCAAAATTTGGCATACTTGTTCGTCAAATTGTTTTTTTTTTCCTAGTTGATACTCACTACCCCCACCACCCCCAAGGAATTTTTTTGCACCCAAGAGGATTCCAACCTTAGACCTGATACTTCTTGAGGCACTAGGACCAAGTTCTTACCCACTTAAGTCCCTTGGGGTTTGTTCATCAAATTGTTATTTCGATGACAAAACTTGGCACTAATTTTACTAAAAACGTGTTCATATAAATGTGTGTTGTTTTCTTAAGATTTAATCTTTAGTGCCATGGCTTTCCTATATTATGCCTAATATGTCATGTATATTAGCGAGTGGACGGTGCACACGGATGGGGGATTGAGGTTCTAAGCCAGATTTTATGTTCCTAAAGCTGATTAGTTGAGGAGTGATGTTCTTTGTGTGTCACGCTTTACTATCCACTTTGGACTATGAGGATGTACCATAACTGAAGATTTCAGTTCTGATGGAATGTATGAAAAAGGATTTTGGTAGTTTTGTGTCAAGATGCCTTGACATGTGAAATCTGAACATCAGCTACATGTGAATTTCCTACAACAATTGCCTGCTGTAGAATGGAGGTGGGAACACAACACTATGGACTTTCTGTCAGGTTTCTCAAGGATTCAATGAGAATATAATTCATTATGGGTGACTCGTGGATAAGCTTACTACGTCGGCACACTTCTTGTCAATACGGACAACTAATTCCTTAGACACACTCAGCTGATTATAGTTACTCATCTACGCTAGCTGTATTTTTATTTTTTTACTTTTTTTAGTTACTCTAGCTGTATTTTTAGTTCAGAAAGTTCAGTCGGCTTCATATGACATGGTGCGATGGAGATGGGAGACGTACTTGTACAACAGGTATAGGTGCAATCCCCTCTTATTTTTTATTTTATTTTTAAATTGGGAAGAAACACACACTCACACACCCACTTGGTCCCATGGTTACACGAACCCTCAACCTTCTACTTTGGAAGGTGAGGATGTTCTGCTTGGCTGTAGCCTTTGGTGGTGCTATCCCCTCTTGTATTCTCAGAAATTTCTGCCTTCCCAAATCATGTGGGATCCTGCACACCACACTCTGCTCACATGTGTCCTCATGTGCGTGGCTCGAGATGTTGACCCACCTGCACGGCTCAATTTCTCACACTTCAGTTGGGATTAGCTCGTATAGCATCTGCCATACTCCACCACTATAGTCAACAATGTTGTCCGTCATGGGTTTCCCTCACAACTTCAAAATTTGCCATTAACAACCAATGTGGGATCCCATCCACAGGTGCAATCCCCTATTATATTCTCAGCAATTTCTGCCTTCCTGGGATCCCATCCACCACGCTTCCGCTCACGTGATGTATCTTTGCAGTGTCCAGAAGCTACCTCAATAAATTCCTCCTTGAAGTTTTCACAAAGTAAAGACACCATGCGATGCCCAAAGCAGTCGCCGTATCCTTTCCCACACTTCTAAACTGGATTAATTCTTTTTGAGGAAACCTAAAAGAGAAGCTTGCTTCCTGTTCAACTAATCTGAGTTTATGAGATGAGTCTTCCTCTGCTTATCCCTAGCCTTTATTTAACTGAAAGAATAAAGACGACATGCCCCGAGTTGTAAGAAGGGTGTGCAGCTCAAGACGCTGGGCCACCTGCACAGCTCAAGTCCACACACTCTTGGTTGGGCATTGGCACTAATACCATCTGCCATAATCCTTTACTATAGTAAACAATGTTGTCGGTTTTGGGTTTCCCTTACAACTTTAAAACGTGTAATTAACATACCATTCTTATATGCTTAGCAATTGTTGTCTTTCCAAACGATGTGGGATCACATCCACAGGTGTATAGGAAATCTTAATGTTAGTATATGGTGTAGATTCTTTTATAGGGTCTTAGATTTAGTAGTTGTTTGTATGTTTTAGTTACTAGATATGTCATATATGAGAAGCATGTTAGGAACTTCACAGTACAGGTGAATTAGATGAACTTACGGAATTACGGTCCCAAAATACCGATATGAAGAAATACATGTTTATTTAGGTCAATTAATTACTGGAATTGAGGTGGACTTTCATCATCTTTAGGTCAAAATAAGATGTATATATTTTGGAATCCTTTCTTAAATGTTAGAAATTTTTATTTATCTGCAAAAGTTTTACATTCTTGTGCATTGGTAGGAGAAGTTCTTCAAGAATTTGAATAAGGTAATGATTTAGCATTAGTGTTACCATAGTTATATTTTCATTTATGAACTACAAAGACCATAAATTGTATTTTATTCTCTTTTTCCGTTCTAATAGAATTTGACAATATATTAAAATTGAGTATTTTCTTTTCAGATTATTTTTGACAAAATGTCCGGCCAAAGCCAGCGCTTGAATGTTGTTCCTACTGTCACAATGCTTGGAATTATGAAAGCTCGCCTTGTTGGTGCCACAAGAGGTCATGCTCTTCTCAAGAAGAAGAGTGACGCTTTAACTGTGCAGTTCCGGCAGATTCTCAAGAAAATTGTCTCAACAAAAGAATCAATGGGAGATATCATGAAAACATCCTCCTTCGCCCTAACTGAAGCCAAATATGTTGCTGGCGAGAACATCAAGCACATTGTACTTGAAAATGTCCACAATGCATCCCTTAAAGTTCGATCCCGGCAAGAAAATGTTGCAGGTGTCAAGCTCCCCAAGTTTGAGTATTTCACTGAAGGCGAGACAAAGAATGCCCTGACTGGATTAGCTAGAGGTGGGCAGCAGGTGCAAGCCTGCCGTGCTGCTTATGTGAAAGCGATCGAGGTTCTGGTCGACCTTGCTTCTCTCCAAACGTCATTCTTGACACTCGATGAGGCAATCAAGACTACAAATCGTAGGGTCAACGCGTTGGAGAATGTTGTGAAGCCGAGGTTGGAGAACACAGTAACTTACATCAAGGGGGAGCTAGATGAGCTGGAAAGGGAGGATTTCTTCAGACTGAAGAAGATACAAGGTTATAAGAAGAGGGAGATAGAGAGACAGCTTGAAGCTTCCAGGCAATTTGCGGAGGAGCAGATTGCAGAGAATATTTCTTTGCAGAAAGGGATTTCAATTAATTCAGCCCATAGCTTCTTGTCTGATGCAATGCAGAAAGATGAGGACATTATTTTCTGATGTGGAGGTTATTTTTCATTTGCTTTCTATTATGTTGTTTTGCTTTGGCTCCGCTATTTGTTATTTATTGAATTAGGTGGATGAGAGATTTATTTTGAATAAAAGCTGCATGTATGTCCCATTGATTAAATCAAAGTATGCATAGCCAATTTTGAAGTTTGAGGTTTGTCCCACATCTTGTAACAATCAATATTGAAGTGAGACCCAGTTCTTGACTGATGTCATGCTAAGCGCCTAATCAGAACGTATTTGGGCACCACTCGGGTAGGCTTTGATTTGATATCACGTCAAGCCAATGTGTTTGGACCCTTACCGGGGTTAGCAGAGTGGTTCGAGTCGTAATGAGGGCATCACAAGTTTGGACAAGGGAGAATGTTAAAGATTTGTCCCACACTGGATCCGAATGTGAAATGTTATGGGTATAAATGAGCTGGGTATACATCGGGCCAAAAAGTTGTCCGGGCTCCCACTCGAGTAGACCTTGATCCGATACCATGCCAAGCGCCCTGCCGGAGCGTGTCCAGGCCCCCCACCTGGATAGGCAGGGTGTCTCGAGCCACAACGAGGACGTTGTAAGTTTGATTGAGAGAAAGTATTAGATGTTTATCTTACATTGGATCCAGATGTGAAATGTAATAGGTATAAATGAGTTAGGTGTATATCGGATCCATATGTGTATAAATATCTCATATGTTGGCTCCCTCCAAATTTTATGCATTAGTTAGTGGGATTAAAAGGCTTTATTTATTTATTTATTATTATTATTTATTTATTTTTCATTTTTTCAGTTACATATTTTCACGCGTGAGCTTATTAGGTGTCTTAATACAAGGGGCGGAGGGAGAGGTGGGCCGGGGGGCCATGGCCCGCCCAAAATGTTGTGGAAACTCTATTAATGCTACGGAGTACTTATTTATGACTCTTAATAATAATTTTGAATAGAAAAAATAAGTTTGACCCCTTCAAATTATTTACAAAATTCTTTTTGTGGTTACTTATTATGGTTTGAATGAACATTTCTATGGTTATTAAGGGTGGTTTGAATTAGCCCTTTTAGTATTGCATTTAAAATTTTAAATCTAGTAAAAATCATAATAATTGTTATTGTAATACATTTTTTTTTTTGTTAAAAGGGTAAGCTTATTATTGTAATACTTGCTAGCTACAACATATTAGAATACTATTTATATACTTTTTCTTATATATCTTTTCATATACATTACATTTTTTTTTTTTTTTTCATTGCTTTATTTGTTATGAATTGAATGAGAAGGAAAACATACTTTACACTTGACAACCTCTTTTATCGTTACTCAATTATTCTTCTCTTCATTTTTTTCTTCATCTTACTCAATTTTTGGTTTTTTTTTTTTTTTTTTAAGACAATGTTTGCGTTTTATCGAGAAAAAAAAAAAAGAAAAGAAAAAGAAAAGGGTTAATGTTTGAAATAAAGGATTGAAAAAATATTGTGTTGTATTGTACTAATGAATATTATATGGAGGTATTATATATAAGAGAAGGTTTGGGTAGTAGGTAAGTGATGAACAAGTAACCTATAGATAGTAATATGGTAGGTATAATCATGTATGGTAATATGTAGTATGCAAGAAATCTGTATGGTATGTAAATGGGTAAACTTGTAATCTAACATCCACTTTAAGGTGACCAATGACGAAGGGAATGAAGGGGTAGGGGGGGCACGTGCCCCCGGACAGATACAACAAAAAAAAAAAAAAAAAAAAAAAAAAAAAAAATTTATAATAATAATAATAAAACTCCAAAAATAAATAAATAAATAAATAAACCCTAAAATTTTTCTACACTCAATTGCCAATCATGGCAAGTGCCCAGTGGGCTACCACAATTATTCTATGTCCCCCAATAAATATATCACAATAATTTAATAGTAATTTTTTTTTTTTCAAATATTTGTGTGATTAAATTACTTAAATTAGAATCTTAAATAAATAAGAGGAATACAAATTCTATTGATATGTATCATACGATGTTATTGTTGGCTGAATTTTGCTATGTAACTAACATCTTGTTGTAAGTTTTTTTTTTTTTTTTTTTTTTGGACAAATGACAATAAATGACTTAGAATTTTCTTTAGCATATAAACCTTTAAACAATTCTGTTTGTTAGTCTCATTGTCTCATATTAGATTAAATATTTGAATTCATAATTTTAGAGGAATTTATTAACTTTACTATATATGCAAATTTTTATTTTATTTTTTTAAAAAATTAAGTATATTATAGTTGCTAGTTACAGTTAGCCACCCAATGTTTTTATTTGTCTTTAAGTTAGGTTTTATATTCTGATTTGCAGGTTATTGAGCTCATCAGCTCACTCTTTTTCTCTTCATATTCATTCCTATAGAACAATTGGAGGTTTCCTGTTCCAAAAGTGTAGGACTTTGGCTTCAACAAGGTACACCTTGCTGACTTGCTTTCTCTTTTTCTTTTCTTTTTTTTTTTTTTTTTTTTTAATCTATTTTGACTTCTTCATTATTCACATTTTTTTTTTTAACCAATGTTATGCACTTTAATGACTTAATAATAAGTGTATAACCTATTACTTAATTATGTTGAGCACTTAAGAGGGCCATTGATAATTTATTTTCTAGACATGGATTGAGCATTTCTAGACTGCGTAGTCAAGGTTATAATGGGCCTAGCAATATGCAAGGCGAGTTTAACGATCTCAAAGCGCTTATTCTAAAAGCGAAATGAATTTGCTTTTTATGTTCGTTGTTTTGCTCACCAACTTCAGTTGGTTCTTGTGGGTGTGGCAAAGAAACATTCTTAGATTTTAACTCTGTACATGTTACTTGGTAATGTGGTGAATGTAGTTGGAGCCTTATGTAAATGTCGTGATATGCTTCGAGAGAACAAGTTGCCGAAGTTATTGAGGGAATTAACAGAGGTGAGCTTTCAAATGGGCGAGGCCTAAATCAGAGCATTTCCCTTATACGTCCTGGAGACACTCGTTGGGGTTCATATTATGGTACTTTAACTAGCTTGATTACGATGTTTCCATCTGTAATTGGTGTTCTTGAGAATATCGAAGAGGATGGATTGAGTTCCGATCAAATAAATGAAGCAAATATTCTGCTTGAGTCAATGCAATGCTTTAGTTTCGTATTTAGTATCTATTTAATGAAGACAATATTGGAAATTGCAAATGAATTATCAAAAGCACTACAAAGGAAATATCAAGATATTGTGAATGCCACGTCCTTAGTCAAAGTATGTAAGCAACGATTGCAAATTATGAGGGAGGATGGATGTGATTCTTTACTTGATCAAGTTTCTTCTTTTTGTAAGAGACATGAGATTGATGTTCCCAACATGGATGATATAGCTCGAGGACGATCACGCCATAAAGCTCAAGAAATGGCAAACTTGCATCACTATCGTGTTGATTTATTTTATTCTATTATAGACATGCAACTTCAAGAGCTAAATAATCGTTTCAATAAGGCAAATACTGAGTTACTTCTTTGTGTGACACGTTTATGTCCAGATGATGCATTCATTGCTTTTGACAAGCAAATTAATTCACCTTGCTAAATTTTATCCAAAAGAATTTTCTGCACTTCAGCTCATAGATCTTGATGGTTAACTTGAGACTTATATTTTTGATGTACGCTCTGATGGTAGCTTTGAAGGTTTGAAAGGAATTCTTGCTTTTGCAAAACGAATGGTTGAGACAAGAAGAGACAAGGTATGTCTGTTGGTGTATTTGCTTGTGACGTTGGGGTTGATCTTGCCAGTTGCAATTGCCACAGTAGAGAGGACATTTTCTGCTATGAATGTTGTGAAGAATGAATTGTGTAATCATATAAGAGATCAATTTATGAATGATAGCTTGGTTGTATATATAGAAAGAGATATATTAAGTGACATAGATAACGAAGCTATCATGCATCGTTTTCAAAATATGAAAACCCGTCGAAGACAATTGTAATCATATTTAATAAAAAATATTATCAATCGATATTTTGGTCCTTGTCTTGATTCTTTTTATTTGAGAATATATGTGTGTGTACTGTGTGCAATATATATTTACCATTTTAGTTGATATATATATATATATATATATATATATATATATATATATATAGTCACCTTTAGAGACGGAGCAAGGATTTTAAGTCAGGGGGGGCACAATGTACTTGATATATATATATATATATAAATATATGTGTGTGTACTGTGTGCAATATATATTTACCATTTTAGTTGATATATATATATATATATATATATATATATATATATATATATATATATATATATATATATAGTCACCTTTAGAGACGGAGCAAGGATTTTAAGTCAGGGGGGGCACAATGTACTTGATATATATATATATATATATATATATATATATATATATATATCAAGTACATTGTGCCCCCCCTGACTTAAAATCCTTGCTCCGTCTCTAAAGGTGACTATGACCCCAACTTGAGATTGAAGGCAATATCATGAAAGCAGCTATATGGAAATTTGGTGAAAACTACTGTTGAGATTTTTAAAAGATTTTAAAACTCGTTTAAAATATTTTAATATTCCTTTATTATTTAATTTCATTATTTGAATTTTATATTGTAACTTACGGAATTAACTTACATGAACGTTACACTACAACGTATATAATTTATTGGGTTTTTATTATAGCAAATAAAGAGTTAGCCGTTTTGGCTTCTTTGAGGAGGCCTATATATATGGCAATGGGATGCACTTAAAGCCATATACCAAACTACTCTATCACATTTGCGTATTACTTTTCCAGAGATTATTCTATCAATATCTTTCACATATTTCACATATATTTTACTATTTTGGGCAACTCGACATTGGAGACTTGGTCCTTTTTCCTTCATGTGGTAGTGCGCATAGAGGAGGTGCCGCTGAGAGTTGATCGGGTTGTATCTTGGAGTTAACTAGTACCATCCGTACCTGTACGTAGTGTAATGACCGGTCATTTTCTTCATTTTCCTTTTTTCCTCAAATTTTGCGAATAAATTTTTTCCGTTGTCTTTTCTTTTCTGTGGATGGTTTTTCGTCGCTTAGTGTCATCTTGAGTGCTCAGAATTGGTTTCTAAGACTCTTTCATATGAATTAACAACTTCCTTTG